GGGGGGGGGGGGGGGGGGGGGCGTTCTCCCTGTTCACGTACCCCTTGTGTCGGGTGGATCGAGACTGCTTCTGGACTTGAATGCTCTTTACTGTGCGTTTCCTGTCTACTCGTAGTGCCTGGCACAATGCAGTCGTGGAACAAATGTTTGCTGAACCCGCATGTCCGCACAGCCTGGCTCAGTGAGCCGGTCCGTCCACACAAGGCAGCCCTGTGCATTTGCACAGAGAGAACTGCTGGCACTCCAGGGTGTGTTGACAGGGAAGGCGCAGAAGGGAGGCAGTGTGGGTGCTGCCTTTCTTCTAAGATGGGAACATAGGCACCAGGATGCACCAGGATGTCTGTACAGGTTAATGAAGTAGAAATGGAGCCTGAATAAAAACATTGTGTATAAGGAACCGTGTGGACGGGGCAGGGTTGGAAGCTAGACCTCTGTGTATCTCTAGATTATAGTTTGACTTTGAGATCATGTGACTGTCTTACTTTTTTTTTTTTTTTTTTTTTTTTAAATAAAATAAGCCAGATATGGTGGCACATGCCTGGAAGCCCAGCACTCAGGAGGATAAGGCAGGAGGATCTAGGCCAACCTGAGTTAAATAGCAAGACTGTCTTCCAAAGAGAAGAGAAAGAAACACAAGCACAAACTGACTTTAAAGTTCATCGATATGACTACATAACCTTAGTTTGACATAATCTAAGAACAAAAAACAATGGCAATAAAATAAACTGCATTTAGTATAACAGTATTGCCAATTAGATGCTAGTACATGCATTAAACATAATTTAAATATTTCCAAAATAGCAAATATCAATATTGCTGGGGGGGGGGAGGAAATACAATTATCAAATGAATGAGATTAGCTATAAATTCTGTACTCTTGACATTTGAATGGGCAATGGTAGTATGAATTCATGATTAGTAATTTATTATAAAAACACATAGACCCAAGTTATGTCCACTGAAAACGCCAAAAGCAATGTCAGCCCAAGGGCTGTGCTCATCCTTCCTGTTCAAATTCACAGACAAAATGGCTCATCTCACTAAAAGGAATGAATTATCCTTTAGGGATTGATTAAGTTCAGAACTGGGGCAAGAATTACACAAAGTGGTCCAGTGTCATCTTGAGCCAGACAGGAAAGTGGCTGTCAAATACCAGTGAGAATGTGTTAAAAGACCCCAGAAGCCAAGATGACAGTGGAACAATTTGAACATGAAGGTATAACAGCTGTCTTGACTGACATATACATATCACCTCACCATTCACCTTTCAGTCACATAAGGAACCAGCTCTTTAGAGAATTGGTAAGAGGAAAAAAATAAGCATTTATTCTGCTGTATATTTCAGGGTTCCTAAACAGTTCATGAGTATGGTGATAACCTCATCCTAACCTTAAATCAACAGAACTGGTAGAATTAGAAAGTCTCATCATTCACACTTCCTAATAAAACCTTGGGACAAAGTCACTTGTGTCTATTAAAATTATAGGTTGGGTGGTACATGCCTGTAATCCTGTCGTCCAGGAGGTTGAGGTTTGAAACAGGAGGATCGGGCATTCAAGGACAGTCTGGGCTATATAGTGAGACCCTGTCTCAAAAAATGAAATAATACCACAAGGTGAAAGTTTGGTGGAAAGATTTACAGTGGAAAATATGGAGGACAAAGCAGACTCCAAGAGCATCAGTCAAGCTCAGCATTTGGTGAATTCTACAGATTGTCCAGATTCTCCAATACATAACCATTGCAAAAGAAGTGGGGTAAAGGGAGAGCTGATAGAGATTTTGTCTTAAATATATCCTGAAGACTGGGATATGGCTCATAGTAGATAGGTTAACTAGCATTTATGAGGCCCTAGGTCTGACCCCCAGTACTACAAAAGCTATGCAAATTAAATGATACATGTTGCAGCCAGGTGCAATCTTTGATCTTGTTTTCAATAAGTTATAGTCATACACGTAATAAGGGAAATTTTCACATAGAACTTTCATCAGATTGGCCATTTGTCACTTTCACCAGGCATGCTAGAGAGTTCATGGGCATGATTAGCAGTTTGGATGCCGGTATATGAGTGTACCTGGGGCCTCTCCCAGGCTAACATGATTCACTGACAGTATGTAGTTTTGTGGAATCATTAATTTTTAGATTGATAAGGTTATCATTACATGTATATGAGCGTGCGGGTTTCGCGGAGCACCAGCTGCTGGCTGGCGCCTGTCTCTCCCGCGCCGCTGGGGCGGGTCCCACGTGCTGCGTTGCTGAGGGTCTGCGGCTACTGGATGCTGGCGACTCTACTGGTCACTGCGCTTCTAGGCGTGTTCCACTCCAATCTACCGGACACTCCCTCTAGGTTCGAGATCCGTCAGCCGCCGGGTCACGAGTGGAGGTGCGGGAACGGCGAAAGA